GGAAGGACCTCGCGCGTGTTACAGAGACAGCCCTCGCGCCTGTGTTTCCTTCCCTTTCTTGGCAAGAAACACCGTGTTCCCTTCTGATGAAGATTAGTTACTTTTCAGCCAGCGAGAAATCATTTGCAATGAACGTAATCATCCGCGGAGGCTTTGTTTTCACGCCATTTCACATTTGTTCTTGGATTCTGTACATCACTTATAGACACACGGGACTGAGATCTTGCCGATATGCGCCTGACGCTGAGTGTGCAGATAAGCAGCGGCCCTGTGCGCCGTGCAGCCACATGGGCTGCAGAGCTGGGTGAGTCCTAACGAGAGAAGATCGAGCTGTAGGAACACCCGCTTTGCCATCTCAGAGAAGGACACGGCTCCCCTGGGCTTTCCCTGTACTTGTCTGTTGGTGATATGTGTGCCTGAACTTGTAGAAATTCCATTAAATTCCCCAGATGTGGGGACAAACTCCCTCTCAAAGTGAGTCGCATACAAGTGCATGGAGACAAATAGCATCAGGGACTGTCATGAAATATTTCGGGGTCCCCAAGGGGCTGCACACCCTGTCCTGCAGAGTTTATGATGTCTTATCTCTGCCAGGGTGGAAAACCCACTTAGTTCAACTCCTGGAAGACAGTTTTTTCTCCTTCTCAACAGTCTCGGCAGGGAGCACACACCTCTCGGCCCATGAGTGTGTCCGGGGCCCAGAGCTCATGAATGTGTTCATTTCTTTTACAACCAGGAGAAAACGCATGACGCTAATCCAGCATCAATTAGAGTCATCCTTATAGAAAGAGGCATAAAAACATCAAATTAACATATTTACATTAATATAAGTATATACATTTATATATAACCACACATACATTCCTATAAACTGTTTATATATTACGTATGAATACGTGTAAAATTTAGATGTAGATTTGTTTATATTATAATTTATATATTTATAATTGTTATATAATGTATACTATAATAAAACTTGTAATACTATTTATAATATGATTATAATGTTATAATACTGATATCAATCCCCGGAAGAATTAATTATAGAAAAAAACAGAGAGAGACACGAGAAACCAATATCAGGAGTGAACAAGAGGCTGTCACGACACCTCTGCCAGGCATGAAAAATAAGGGGAAATAACACCCTTTAGCTAATATACTTCAATAATTAGAGGAAAAGGATGAATTTTGAAGAAAACCCAGCAAGAAATAGGATATTTGAATTCTATTATGTGTCTTAAAGAGGTTAAATCCGTAACTGAAAATCTTTCCTGAAAGGGAACACCAGGTCCAGTTAAGTGCCCTGGTGAGTTCTTCCAAACATGTAAAGCGATAATGCCACTCCCCTTCAAACTCGACACGTTTTCCCTCCGGTGCGGTGAGTTATTTCACGGACATATCCCTGCCGTAACGGTTGACTGGGGACCCCCAAGCTCACGTCCCACCGCACCCCAGAACGTGACCTATTTGTAAACGGGTCCTTAGCAGCAGGGATGAAGGATTAAGCTAAGGATGCAGATGAGGGGGGTGTATGCAGGACCCAGAGAGGAAGATCTCGTCAGAGGCGCCACAGGGCATATAGGAGGAGATGGCCATGTGAGGACGTGTGTCCGATGAGTGAGAAGGTAGGATTGCCTGACGACTGGTACTGGGGTTCTAGAACCGTCCATTCTCCTTTCATCCAGGTTGGGATACGCGGACCCAGGGCCAGCATGCAGCGTCCTAGGGGAAACTGAGTCATAGGGAAATGTCTCTTTCTCCCCTAGCACTCTTACCCACAGCGCCGCTCAGATAGAGGTCTGCCCATCCTGGGATTGCAGTGAGGGGGCCCGCCACACCCACTGTGACCTCACAGAGTGAGTTCCTGTGACCTGTTCAACCCCAGTCACCATCTCAGAAGTTACTACTGCTTAAGTTTAACCTGTGAGAAAATGAACAGAAGGTCCTTTTAGAATTTTCCATGCAAAAATAATACCCCCCGTCTTCCGCAGAGGGGTCTACCAAAGAAATTCCCCCACGACCGGAAGTTTTCCCCCAAATGCACTTTTTTTTTAAAAAAATTGGGGAACGGTGTATTTTTCCAGGTCCCATCAGCCCAGTTTTCTTCCATCAGTGGTCCTTCACCAGGTCAAAGGCATGAGGGAGGGAGCAGCTGTGTTCCCAGCATCCCGCCCTGCCCCAGGGGACACGTGGTGAGGTCTGCAGACAGTTTGGGTTGTCATACCTGGGGGGTTTTGCTGGCATCTAGTGGGTAGAGGCCAGGGGTGCTTCTAAACATCCTGCAAGGCAGAGGACACCCCACTCCCCCAAAGGATTGTCTGTCCTTTGCAGAAGTCGTCAATAAATACCTCTTGCAGTGGTGTTTGTACTCTTAGCCCTGTCTCCTGTCTAAAGTGAGGTTGGCTTCAGTAGCATACAAATGGTCAGACTCCTTCGTTCACTTACTAACCACTTCGTGTTTTGTCTATGTTTATCCCTCACAACTTCATACCACAGAGGCAAAGGGCCCTTCCCGTCCCCCTGTGTCCCGCTGCATATCAGGGCTCCATGGTGTCCCCAAGAGTTACCCTTAGTGACCTGGGCCTGATCACTTGTTGACGGTAGTGCCTCCGGGTTCTTCCACTGTTAAGTGACTTTCCCTTTTTCTGTTTCCACATTCTGTCCTCTGGACGCCTCCATCTGGCCTGACCGTTGCTTTTAACTGCCTCTTTTGGCGCCAGGGGCAGCCCTGAGGTGGCCCCAGGGCTGTAAGTTACAGTCTTGGTCCCACGTCCTTGGAGCTCATAGCCACCACTTTATTAAGCAGCAGCAGAAGAAAAGAGGCATGTAAGACAGTAAGAGGGACTTTCAACAGGTACAGAGATTGCTGAGATTTGCTTAGAAATGGGATTAAATTCTTAGACGTGCTTAATAAGTCAGGACTCGATCGGGAAAAATATGGGCAACTTTTTGGTGATCTGTGTGTCGCATTCGAGGCCGCTCTGTGACGCAGCATGTAATCCATACTGTAAAGCGCTGCTCCCGTTTTGCAGATAAGCGAACTGAGGCTCCAGAAGTAAGAAAAGTAAACAGAATAGGACAACTTAAAAATAGCCTTTCTTTCTCGAACTCGGCTGCATTTCACACCTCAGCTAACAGGTGACATTCCAGGCAAAGCATCTTGCACACGACACCTGCCCTGCAGCCTCTCTGCAAGCTGGTCCCGTGTGTTTGGAACGTACTGTCATTTCTCTGCCAGAACAGGTTCTTTCTGTCCTGCAAAATGCAGCTCAAGACAGCTCCTCCATCTAATCCTAGATAAGCCCCGCCTGATCCCAAACCTAGTCCAGCCTCTCTCCCAACTGCCAGAGCTCAGTTGGGTCTGTAGGGCCAGGCACCCATGCCCACGCCTGTGGGTTGTGTGTGTGATGTGTGTAGGCAGCCCATGGGGACTTTTAGAGGGCTGCCTGTGCTAACCACTCTTAAGCCCTGTCGAGCTGAACAAAGCACAAGCTCCCCTTGCAAGGAGCTCATAGTATCAGGGAGATAAAAGGGCACGCACGCAATGGGTCACATATATTAAAACAGAGGGACAAGCGGAGTGCCAAGGAAGGGAGGATTGGGCTCGCTTTCTTGGAAGAAGGAAGATCTGAGGACATCTGTGCAGGCTGAGGAGGATTCACCCATTTGGAGAGGGTCAGAGGCAGCACGGAAAGGCCCGTGTAGAAACAACGCCGTGGCAGGCAGAGCGGGGCACTGTGGGAGCGAGTTGGAGGGACAGATAACGGTCCCACGACCTTGGAGACCCAGGTGTGTGTATGTCAGGGGAGGCTTGCAGAAGAGAAATGGTGGTAATACAGGTGGGACCCCATGAAAGAAGGCTTAGAATTCCACGTGGACCAATGCAGTTTATTCTGCAGGCGACGGGAGTCCATAGCTGAGTATGACGCCCGCGTTAGAAGACGTCCTTGGAGCAGCAACGCCAGGCCCAGGGGACGGGGAGGACGTGGGTGTGTATTTATTTTTCAGTGCACGTTCTCATGCCATTCAACGTCCCCTTTTCTTCCATTTATGAGGAAGGTTCTGAGGGTCTTTGTCGTACTTCCTGCTTCCTTGGCTGGCACCCGCTCCCGCCACCCACGGTCCTGCACGGGTGGACGCTCTGTACTAGTTCTAAGTCTGACGTTTCTCCAGGGCTGGACCCACAAAGCTTCATCAATTGTGCAGGCAACAGAAAAGGGGTCCACGAAAGGAACAAACCATGAAGCGTGTTTCCAGGGCAGGAATGCCAGGTAGCTTTGTCGGCTTGTGTGCTGAGAACGGTGAGCTGGTGACTACCCTCCCCAAGTGAACGTCTTCAGGGGTCCTAGCAAGGGGCTTACAGCGCTGATCTCTGGGCCAGGATGTTTTCATGGGCACCGCGTATCGCTCCATCCGGGTCACCTGGGATAGCTTTTGAAACTCTAGTATTGCATCTATGAAAAGGCTTCATCTCAGCCTTAGCTTCCAGCACGAGGGAGGGAGGGAAAGAGGGGGAGAGAGAGAAGAACCCTCTTCTACAGGACTTCCTAATGGCATGTCCGCACCGTACAAATCCATATTTTAGAAGGAACACCACACTCACTCCAAAACAGAGCAAGAGTACCTTAGCTTTTGTAGAAGTTGCCACAGCAACGTGAATTGGAGGGCTGCCCCCACTTCTACCTTCCCCTACAACCTGCTTCAACTAACTGTCCTAGAAAACCACCAAGCTGGGAAATGGTGTGTTTTGCTAGCTAAGAACGTCCTTTTCTTCGATCAGAGTGAGTACAGCCCCGAAACGATATACAGTGAGTGTTGCTCTTAAGACATAGTATTGCACAAAGACTTAAAATGATCCAAGTGGAGTCCTCATCCAGCCAAACAGGATTCTGAAACCAAAAATACCCTCCCCCTCGCCCCCAAGCTGACCCTGGGCGTGCACTTCCTAGAGACAGCTGGTGCCCAAGCCAGGCTGTTGAGTGCCATGCTCATTTCTTAACGCGCTGGACCCCACTGTGGAAAAACAAGGTAGGGAAGTCAGTCATCAGCTGTTCTCTCCTTGTAGCAGAGTCTTTGCAAAGCTTCTGCCTCTCATCAAGCAGGCTCAGTTCCAGAGAAGGCAAGGCAGGTCACACATACGGCATGCTTGGCTGAGCGTCGGGCCAAACTCCCAGGGAGCAGTCATGAGTCACCCTGTTACACTGGACACCGTGACACACGGTACATGCCAGGACTCGAGGGCTGGGAAGCCACTTGGGAAATCTGAATCTCCGTCTCTGTGTTCCAAAAGAGATGCGCCAACACCGCCCGAGTTTGGTGAATCGAGTGGAACTTGGTTCCCATCTTAACTCGGCCGTTTCACGCGGACCGAGATGTAATCTGGGTGGTGAGGAATTTACGGAATCCTAGACTTTCAGAACAGGAGAGGGCCTTGAAACGTATCTGGCCAGTGACCTTTGTTCTCCTGACGAGGGAAATGACCCCAAGAGAAGCCGAGCACGTGACAGATCATGGAGCGTAGTGGCCCCGACGTCTGGTGGCCTCCCGACTGCCAGGTTTGCATGACGCAGCTCTTTCGGAGGTGTCCTGGCTTTCCGCAGGCAGCATTTCTGGACTCGGCTGCCTTCATTTTCAGAACACCCTTGTTCTGAAATTCTTCACGAGGGCCCTCAGCTCACGTGCCTTTGTGCCTACTTTGGAGGTGAGCGGCTCAAACTGTCATAAACTGTCCTTTAGAACCTTTCTCTTCTGGCCTTCCGGGCAACAGTGAGAGGACCAAAACCAGGCTTACCACCAACTTACCACCAACGCGCCCTTTTACAGGGACTCCCAGCAGAGCTTGGGGTGTCACCCAGGGCGGCGACAGTCATTCTTCGCTGCCGTTGGAGTCCTTCCCAGGCGTTTTCTGTTTGTTTCCGGTTTAGAGGCACGGATGCTTCTCCAGGTAAGAATGGGACGCTTGGAGAAGGACAGAGGTGGTTCCTCTTCCTTCTCTGCCCTGGGCCTGTGGACCCAAGCTCGTTTGCAGGCCTGGTTAGCTTGTACTGCCACCTGCTGGAGCCCCCCTGGCACGCACCTCAGACACACCTCTGCCCCTACTGAGAGCTGCTCTTCAAGGAGCTTTTGCCCTCTGCCGTTCTGTCGTCCTACCTGGCAGCTAGAAGACAGCAGACGCGAGGCGGCACAGTGCAGTCAGGCCCCGGCCTCCTCACCCCGCTCCCCACTTCTCCAGCAGCCCTCAGGGCCTCCCAATCTCCGCCACACATCTCAGCATCTTTCAGACATGCTTGTCGTGTTTCACATTCTCTTTGACTCATGAGTTCACGCTGGGGTGGAGACTTTGGTCCTCGGCAGCTTTTGATTTAGAAACTAATGCCAGAGAGGCACAGGGCAGTACCAGTGTTTGTCACCGCTCCGCCAAAGGGAGTGAAGGCAGCGGGGAAGGGTTGCCGGCTTTGCAGGGAAGAGGGTTGTCGGGTGTTTTCCGTTGGTGACACTGAGAGGAGGAGTCAGCTCTGATTCACAAATGCAGTCATGGTGACGGCCATAGTTTGCAGGCACTTCCTGTGAGCAAAACCGTAATGTGGTGAGAAATTTAACGTCCAAGATGCTTTTTTTTTTTAAAATTGGGGAATTGGGGGAAGGGGAACAGACCAGTTGCTGTCCTTTTTGTTCTTCAGTCTAGTTGTGGAGGACGTTGCTTCACTGGCCCAAGTTGGCACCATCATTGCGCTCTTCCCGGGTGAGGCAGATCAGTCGCCGGCTTCTGGACGGCCGCTCACAGCGGCTGCTGGCTACACACAGTAGCCTGTGGAAACCCACTGCAGCAGGGGCTGCAGCCTACGCCGCGACTCACGGCAGCCCAGCTCCAGGTTGAGCTGTTGTTCAGCATCTTAGCTGTAGAGGGCAGTGTCACTGGCCCTCATATGTGGGATCCGAACCGGGTCCTCTGGCGTCCCAAGCCAGCTCTTAACCAACGTGCCACTCCGCCGGCCCCAAGATGCTTTTTACAGAAAATAATTTTGCTCAGAATTTTTAGATAACATTATATATGCGTGTGTATTTATATCATTGTAAATACTGGTTTGTTATCGATCACCATGTCCTTAGCATTTTCCTGTGTCATATAGCCTTTAAAAATGTGATAATCAATGGTGATATAATATTCCATGTTAAGGGTGTACCGTGTTTTAATGAACCACTTCGTTGGCTGCCATTTAGGTCATTTCTAAATTTAGCAAATGCGTCTTAAGAACTTTGAAAGGACAGTTAATTTGCTGAATGAGTATTTAAGCAAAGCTTACGGATTGTGGTTCTTTAGCTTTTGACACAGTTCCAATTTCAGACATCACGGATGCAGAGTGACCGGCTGCCGCTGGGCTTTTGGTGATGCAGTTCTAACCCCAGGAAACGCCAGGCTGCAGAGACAGGTTGACCAGGTTCATGGTTGCCACGAACACTGGCTTATTGGTGCAGGACAGCCAGGAAGCAGGTTGGGCTGCACGTCCGTGTGCTTGGAGCCTTCCAACAAAGATGGTTTTGCCTCAGTTCCCCCACAAGGACATTCAGTAATGCCTGGGGACATTTTTAGATGTCACAATTGTGTGTGTGCACGTGCTCACGTGCACACGCGCGTGCGTTGCTGTCATCTAGAGGGCAGGCATCAGGAATGCTGGTCAGTATCCTACAGTGAACAGACAGCAGCCCCCACAACGGGGAATGATTTGCCCCAAATGTCACCACTTCCGAGGCTGAGAAACCCTATTTTTTCAGGTAAAGAGAAAGCCTGCGAAAGGGGGTGCTCCCTAGAACAGAACTGACGCCTCTCACTTTATCTGAGAAAGGTAGTCAACATGCCTCCATTTCTGACATCTATACACAGAAGGTGGATGTGTGCAGAGAGCTGCTTTTCATGTCCTCTTTCTTTTCAAGCACCAAACTCAGCACCTTGGTGGTTGTGGGTGAAGAACTTCTAGAACCCTTGCGTGTGGGAAGGGCTTGGACTGTCTTCACACAAATGGAAGTGCACTTGCTCGTTGAGCTCAAAATATTTGCAGGGGATGTGACTTCTCCACCCGTGGGTCTCTATTCTTGATGATCTTTTCTTTACACCATTTTCTTTCTTGTAGAAACAGGAAAATAATGCATGTCCTGTCGATGCCAAGTGATGTTGTAATTATTTTGACATGAGGAGTCCCCAACTTTCATATACTTGACGTTTCGAAATATCATGCGTTGTTTGCAAATTATACACACTCCTCAATTGCCTTTTACGTACTGCGTTTTGTGTATGTCAGCTCAGGTGTGGGTGTTTCTAGTCAGACACACCCCTCGCTACTACTGGTTCCTTTTCAGATTGGCTCTCTGGGTATAGAAGTATAGTGCTTACTTTTCTATAAAATTGCATTCTTCTGTTTTTCTTCTACAAATACGTGTACGAAAGAAAAAAGTGACGTTCTAGTAACATGATAAGAAGCGTAGGTTTTCCAAATCGAGTGGACAGTTGCAAACCCAATGAAAATAATTACGCATACCGGAAGTAGCAATTTTTACCTCAGCCAGCTCTAGGCTAAAACATGCAGTCAGTTATGAATGAAAATAAATTTAATGAATATGTATAATGTACTGGAAATATACTGGCTGAAGATTGTGTCGTAAGGATAAAGTGTGATAGCATTTCATCTCTACACCTCTAAAGAATAGAGGTCGTCTTCCATATACTATGTATGTAGGTCTATTGTTCAGTTGCTCAGTCCTGGCATGTTGATCTTTGGAATACATTTTCAGGACTGTGTTGTATATAAAACCAAGAGGCCAGCTTTGGCGAAAAGGCTTGACCACTGTGCATACCTACAGACCGCCTACAGTATGTAAAGCAAGGGAGAGCGATGAATAAATACAGTATTTCTGCTTTGACTCCCAATGCTAATTCCTTTTTTTTAAAAAAAGGTATCTGCTTTAATTTCAAATATTCATGCCCATGAAATGAAACTGTGTGTTTTCATATCATAGCAGTGGGGAAAAAAGTCTCGTGGATTTCATTTCACAGCACAGGTTACTTCCATCTTGCCAATGATTTGAAGTCTAGACGTTATTTAAATAGATGCTTAACCTTGAGAATAAAATTGCAAAGACACCCCATTTGCAAGAGCATAGCTTCTGTGCTATGGATACAAATACACATTTGATGATACGGGGGGATCAGATAAGACCGAGTATTAATTTGGGTCCTACACTTTACCAGCAGCCTATGTGGCTTAGGGCAAATAGTTTAATTTCTCCGAGTATTAATGTTTCTCAACGGAAACATAGAAATTGTTGTAGGTTTGAGGGCCATTGAGGGATGAATGGGACAGTTCATGGAATGTGCTTAGCCTGCTGTCCGGTTTTAATGGTCACTGCCATGGCTCTGACCCCTCCAACCCTAGCATCCCCAGGTCAATAGATTCTGAATTGCTGCCTTTTTGCGCAGGACATACCTCCCTTTCCTTCTACAGATGTGAAAATGGGCCTCAGCCAGTGCTGCTGCCTTTTCATAGAGCCCTGGGGCCATCCTGCCCACTTTGCCAGAGACTGTTCCTAGGTACGTTCAGAGTAACATGTTAGAATATCTAACACTATCGCTGCCCCAAAGAGAGTGGTGAAAAGTATTGACACTGATTGAGCGTACAGTCACCTGTTCCATCTTTGCTAGGACTATGGAAACCGCTTTCTCATTGCTTTTCCCTGGTACAGGACCATTTGTCAATGGCTGATGTAGTGGTTTTATGATAATGGATTTCCACAAGTATACAAACCCGCTCTTAGGAGAATCTGCCTGCACCGTGACCTTGGACTTTCAGCCTCCAGAACCGTGAGAAATTAAGTGTCTGTGGTTATAAGCCACCCAGTGCGTGGTATTTAGTTCCATGGAGTTGTGTTGCATCAACGTGCAATAGCTGGGTGAGGTCCCTCCCCTGCACCCGCGAGGCAGGTCCTCCTGAGGGAGAACAGAGCTGTGCAGCCCCATGGCTGTTCCGGCACCCAGGACGGTTCTGATGCCCACTGGGATCTAAATGTTAGGATGATTGATTGCCTGAGACCTGTGTTTCAAGCTCAGAGCGCAGAGGTATCAAGGTGTCCATTGTCCTCTTAAAGCTCCTAAACACACCCGAGGCTCTTGAACACATGCGAAGTCCGCAGTGGAGAGTCCTACTTTATTTTGTGTCTGCCCAAATGATCCGACCTCGGATCCCGTGCATTTTGGGAAACCCTGCTGTGGATCCAAGGTTGCACCAGATTGTTTGAAAGCTGGGCGTTGGGACCTGTCAGGCCAGCCCCAGGAGGAACGGAGCTGCCATTCCCTGGAACATTTTTGGAGGATCACAGAAGGCCTCTCCGCCTGCCTGGTGCAGTCTCTGCATTAGGGTGTCCTCGCCTGGGTTTGAGGCTTTAATCTCTGCTAAAATGGGAAGACTCCCGAAATTCCCTGCTAATTCCAGGCGCGTTTCCTGAGCAGCTTTGTCAGAGTAAAAGCTTCGCCTGGGCACTTAACAAATCTCATTGTTTCCTCATCGTTTCCGTTGGCGGGAGAAGAAAACCTGAGGACGTGGATTCCTGAGGGTGATGAGGGGTAGGTCCCAGAAAGAGGGGAAGGACTTGAAAAGGAGGCAGAAAGATAAACGCTGCTTCCTTCTCACAAGTCCCCAAGGGCAGAGGTGACACACACATTTATATGCAAAACGATTATGTTCACATATTGGCACATTAGAGATATGCTGTGAGTCCAGAGTGAACAAAACCTTCATTCCTCTGCTCCCCACCCCCCGCCCCCCATGAAATACACTGAAGTGTGGCTTAGTAGTTATTGTGGGTTTCTGCCAGGGGTGAGGCGGAATCGCCCTAAATGAAGCTTGTTATTTTAGCTTTCATAATCCAGTGCTTTTTATGGGATTTGCAAAGCAT